CAATTTGAATGAAACCCAAGGCATTTTGATCTGCCAGGTATTCATGTATGTATGCACATACATGCACAAGTTTGAATTCTTGTCCCTAAATTTTGCATTTGAGAAAATTATCAGGAGGAATTTTTGACATTCCTAGAACGTGGCCACATTCTGAAAAGCTGTGTGCTTTGTGTTTTCCAATTAAGACTGAAGCCAGACATGTAATCCACCTGCCAGCAAGGAACTGAAACTTGAAAAATCAGGGGTTTGTTGTTTTTTTCAGTTGTCCTTCTACATCATTCTGTGTGGCTCCAGTTCATCTAGACTGACAGAAAACTCAAATCAAAGAGGAATACTGGTGTCAAACAGATAGTGAAATACATTATCACTTGAGTTCAAGAGAACCCAGTTTAAAATTAAAATACTTAAATTTGAGCTGTAGATAAACTTCAACTGTAAATTACCTTGGCCCACCAAAAATAGGAAATACACAACATTCTCTACAGTCTTGGAAAGTTCACGGTGCTCCTTGCCCCTTCAGAAAAGCACAGGACCCACAGTAACATCCTGAGTCTTCAGACAAACACTAAGAAATTTGGTAATTAAAGAAAAAAGTTTGCCTTATTATTGTTGTAGTTCATTACTTCGTTTGCCTTCTGACACTTCCTACAAACTGAAAGGGAGCATCTGGGGTCTGTTCCTACATTTCTGGCATACTTCAAACACACTGGTCCAACAAAGTGTGGTATACCTGGCGACTGCAACATCAGGTACCCTCACTTACTTCCTCATTATTCAGTGAAATCTTACCTAAAAGTTTAATTATATCACTGGAACAGATAAATAATACCCCCCCCTTTTTTTTTCCTCATCTGCAGGATGCCAGGAATTTGCACAGACCATTTTTTGAGAAGAAATACTAAAGAAATTTAAAATGTCTAGATGTCCAAAAGTACAAAATAAAAGTATCTCCTCATTTGAGGGCTGAAAGGTTAAATATGCAGACTAATATTTCTCTTCTACAGCTAAGGCATTGGATTTCTAATCTGTCAGCAGTCTTCTTATAAAAAAAGAGATGTATGTATATTTCCATCATTTTTAATTATATCTTATAAATTATGATCTGTATATTATTACCTCTGAACTGCAAATATATAGAACATATAAACAAATATCAAAAAGACTGAGGCCCTGCTCCCACAAAAGGCAGTGGAAGGAGAGCCATAAATTTCTATAGGAGAATTACTAGGCTTCAATGTAAGTTTTCGCTAAAGGAATAATTGTGTGGCACCAGGTGAAGCCAGGTACAAAAGAAATGTAATTAAAATACAAAATGTTATCCTATGCTAGAAAAAGTTTTAAAATCTCCAGATTTTATAAGCATTATATTTTTCAGATTTGAATAGCTCAAAAGGAAACAAACAAAAAAAGATTTGTTGGCAATCTCAACAGATATCTTAGGCTGAACACAGAATGCAGGATAGGGCCCAGAATGTTTATATTGGACAATAATAAATTGTCTGTGCTGGGAAACTCAACTTGAACTGCAGCTGGAAAGGTTTCTTTCCTCTTTTCTTTTCTTTTCTTTTTTTTTTTCCCAACTGATCTGGTTCAGCCAGGCCTTAGCTGTAATTACCTTCTTCCCATCTACAGCTAATACCTCAGAGCAATAAAAAAATATGAGGGTGTTAAAAATTCAAACGCTAATTATGGGCTGTTATATTTACTAAACACAACAAAGTAATAACAAAAGTTTCAGCTTCTTGTGGCCAGCACTGCACTATTTGATCTACCAAGTCCCTGGACCCTTTACACTTACTGTATTACATAACAGTTAACAGCTCACTAAAATAAAATTCGATAAACACATTTATTACCAAATACGCATAGCGCAACCGCTTGCAGCTGTCTCCTTTTTCCAGCACAGGTATGCCTCAGAAGAGTTCATTCCTTTGTTGATTTTGGTTTTGGTTTCCAATTAAGTTTTATGCATAGTACAGCAGTAGGTTTTGTAAGGGAAGCGTGCCCTATGAGTACCCTGTTTAAAGTCTTATGGCAAATATTGGCTAATCCTACAATTCTTGTTCTTACTTTTCCTTGCGCCTGTTTTCAGGTCTAGCAAAGGAAAAAAACTGAGAGCTGCCTTAGTTCCTAGTTCAGCATTCCTACTGTCTCCGCTGCCACCTCTTGCATCCACATTAAACACACAAGGTATAGCTTTATACCACTTAGTAAGAATAGAGGTGTATGGATTTTTGGGGTGTCAAACAGCTGTCATGAACTGTCACCTCCACAAGAGAAACCTTGGCACACAACAAATTAACCCACTCTTCTTTTTGGCTATCATTATTCATAGCCAATCAGTTGAAATGCTCCTAGTATTTCATGTGCAAATAAAACCATGAGGGGAAAACCCTAGGATCAGAATAGTGAGCCAATACATAAAACAGAGGAAACAACATGCTATCTCTGTCCTTCTGAAGTGGCTCATCATCACCCCTGCACCAACTTTCACCAAATGAGATCTAGCCTGAGGCTGTATATTAAATATGCATATCAAAGCAAATGAAAAAATAAACCTGGAGAGTCAGATTGGATAAATTTGCATGCTTGAACTACTGCATTTTCAGGTAGATGCTCACAAATGATAGCTCATTTTTTGATAGTCTTGAGTGTTTGTATTAGCAATTTTTTAAAGCTTTTCCTTCCTTGTGAATAAAAGCGGATTTCTTCCTGCTGGAACCTTGTGCAGTACAAATATAAATGTGTACAGACATGGTAGTTTGACTAAGCTATAGAAGAGTGTTAAAGTTTTGTTAGGAAAACAAGCTAATATATATATAAAAAAATCCAGTAAGCAGACACATTTCCCAAAACGCATGAATAAAATGTAACTATGTGATACAACTCTTCATTTCCCAGTTGGTGTTCTGGTTGCACAAATTATTCTTTCCTTTCAAAACAAATAGCAGGGGGCTAAAGTAAAAATGTTATAGCTCAAATCTCCAGGAAATAAAAGGCTTTAAATTATAATACCCAATGAAGTGGTAAACCCTAACGGGTGCAAGATAAATGGGTTGTCATATTTATTTGAGCTTGGGTTTTGGGCCACAAAAGCAAGAGGAGATTCTTCTTAGGGAAGATAATAGTTATCAAATTATCAAAATGCTAACCCCCTCCACCCCTGTCCTATCATTGTGTGTGAATTTAAATATTATAATAGAGCACTGCAAATTGGCTTGAGCATTCGCCATCTGCCAGAACCCTAAACAGGCTAGTTTATCTAATCTCTTCAATATAAACATAAGCATGCTCCATTTCTACACTTCCACTTGAAACACACTCTTGTAAAGAAACTGTACTGGAGAAACATGTACTTTTTTTTTCTGTTGCTCTGAATTATACACAGTGTCCCCCTATCTTTCAGGTTGACACTCATTTCAATTTCTTTTCTAGTAGTCTCCCAGAATACTTATGCACACAAATTTAGGGTTGTAAAATGCCATAAAACAAATATTTCTGAAATAGTGTCATGCCTCATGGAGTTTATTATCTACATGTGAGATAGCTTATAAGCAGAGAAACTTTCAGGAACCTCTGCATATATTTCCCCCCCCCCCCCCCCACACAAAACATTTCGGAACCCCTGCATTTATTTCCCCCCCCCCCCTCCCCAAATAATAGATTTAAAATGTAAGAGATCACAAAAAGCTCATCTTGCCATGTTTACCGAGTACAGATGAGAAAATGAAAGCGAAGGCTTGGGTCCAAAAATATTTCCTGGGCTCTGTATCTACGCTGTGCCAGGAGTGGGGTATATAGAAGAATTTATTATTATTTTATCTCTCAATTCAGCCTCAGTCCAGGACTAATGTAATTATCAAATACACACGCAAACAACATGTTTCCAAAGGAAACAAATGCTCCTAGAAAGCTCATTCTCTCCCTGGGCTCTCAGCTACTCTTCTTAATATACTGGGAAATGAAGGCAGGCGCCTGTGCAGAAAGTATGGTTAACTTCACACCGGGTGTTAGATTAGTATTTCAACCACTAAAATATTAGACTGTATCATTTAGATTATGAGTTCAATTGAATCTAAAACTGTGTAAACCCCTTTTCCCCCAGGGGTGCGTTCCTATAAATAAACTAGAGTTCACACCCACTCTTTTTAACCAAAGCTATTCCTTCCCTTTTCTGTGGTACCAGCTGCAATCTTTCCCTTCACATCCCGAAGTCTCTCCATGTCTACATCTTTTGAAGGATCACAAAAGCCGCTCCGAAACCCGGAAAAACAAAGGCACTCTCCATACCACTCACACCAGTGTGCAGTCCTACACACATAACACTAATTCACCAACTCCTAAAGTGTTAAAATCAACCGCTAACCTACGGTTACTCAATCATCATTCTCTCCAGCTTTCTGTAATACATTGTTAATAATTGCTTCATCAAGGTTACTGTCTTTTATTATGAAGATGCTTCAGGCGTTTGGCAATAAGTCCATATTCTGACAATAAGTTGCTATAAAGCACAAGCATTGGAAACTCTAATGTGCTAACCCCCTTTTTTAATGCAATGTAGTATTGCCAATAATTCTCATCACTTGTCATCCCCACAGGAGGGGAGGGGGGAGCAAATCAGCAAACTTTCTCCCTAACTTTCTTCTCTCTCTTTCTTTACATTGCTGCATTGCTTACAGAGTTGGCAAAGAAGAGGAGAAAGCACTGATCCCCACACCAAACTGCAGTTTGCTACCTCCCCAAGCCACCCAGACCAGGAAACTTTACAAACCATTGCAAACTCTCTGCGTTACAGATGGAAACAGAAAGAACCCTTTGCACTTCTACAACCTTACAGAGAGGGAAGAAAGTGTAAAGACGGGATCCCAGCTTGCAAGAGGTTAAAGCAGTAATAACAATATTACCAACAGACAACAGGAGCAAAACAATGGAATCTGGGAGAGGTCCTCTAAGCAGGTTAAAGTCTTAAAAAGTGCCATAAGGACATCAGAAGGACTTACATGGTCGGCTAAATTTGTGGAAGATCCTGAGAGTTCTTCGTGGTCTGATTTGGAGCTGCCATCCCTTTCATCAATAACGAGGTCTATTGGCATTTTTCCTTTCAAACAACTAATGTACCGATGGCAGAAGTTATCACACAATTCATGAACCTGAAAACAGTAACAAGAATAATAGTATCAATAGTGGCAAAATATTGGATTGCAACTTTTTTCTCTCTTTTTTTTTTTTTTTTTTTTTTTTTGGTAGCAAGAACAGCCTTCTGATCTGCTCCACAAATAACTCTAATTAAGGGGCACAATAGTTGAAGGCAAGGAAACAATAGAGAAATTGTTGTAGCACGTATTATTCTCTAGAGACTTGCGGCAGCAACAAGTTAGAGAGAGATAGTGGGTTCAGCCTGGCGTGCAGAGGAAAATCCGATTTGATGATAACATCAGAGCACTGGGAGGTGGACACGGGCGGTATCTCTGGAGCGTACACAGCCCAGACAGGTACAACTAGTCACTCGGGATGGGATCTCTTTAAACCGGGGCTAAAAAGAGGTCTGAGTGGCCGGGAGCCCGAGAACGAAGCGACTCGCTGAGACTATGAGAAGGAGGGAAGAGGAGAGGAAGACCCTTTCTCGTCCCCGGGCACAGCCCCCTCCCCACGCCGCGCAGGGGCCCCCTGCCTCTGCCAAACACTTAGCGCCTGCTTGGGGTTCCTGTGCCGGCCGGAGCTGGGAAAAGGCAGCAGTACTTTCATTTCTCTTTTTGTTAAACACATTATTTCCGAGTCGGGAAAAGAGCTTCTGTTGAGGGAAGGGGCACTACTGGAAAGGGTTTAAATATTAAAATTGCACTAAAAAAAAAAAAAAAAGTCGGACTGTGCATGGCTGTTGGGTGTCACATGCTCTGATGGCACAGGTCACACTGTCACACCACGTTTCCCGTCTCTCCTGGCCATGTTTACAAGTTAGACCAACCAGTCAAGGAGGCGGGGGGG